TGAGTGATCGCTAAGAACAGCTAGTGAGGTTATGCTTCATGGTTGCATAAGAGATGGAAGATAAGGAACACTTGTTGATCTTGAGTTAGCAGAAGTTACATAGCAAAGCTTTAAAGAACCAGACCGCTGGGACTTCAAAATTGTCTTTTTGCATTGGCCGGGAATCGGACCCGGGTCTCCCGCTTGAGAAGCGAGAATTCTACCACTGAACCACCAATGCTCGACAACCTCAAACAGACTAGTCCTTGAGTGATCGCTAAGAACAGGTAGGGAGGTTATGCTTCATGGGTTGCATAAGAGATGGAAGATAAGGAACACTTGTTGATCTTGAGTTAGCAGAAGTTTCATACAAAAGCTTTAAAGAACCAGACCGCTGAGACTTCTGAACTAACTTTCTGCATTGGCCAGGAATCGGACCCGGGTCTCCCGCGTGGGAGGCGAGAATTCTACCACTGAACCACCAATGCTCGACAACCTCAAACAGACATGTCCTTGAGTGAACGCTAAGAACAGCTAGTGAGGTTATGCTTCATGGGTTGCATAAGAGATAAAAGATAAGGAACACTTGTTGATCTTGAGTTAGCAGAAGTTACATACAAAAGCTTTAAAGAACCAGACCGCTGGGACTTCAAAGTTATCTTTTTGCATTGGCCGGGAATCGGACCCGGGTCTCCCGCGTGGCAGGTGAGAATTCTACCACTGAACCACCAATGCTCGACAACCTCAAACAGACATGTCCTTGAGTGATCGCTAAGAACAGGTAGGGAGGTTATGCTTCATGGGTTGCATAAGAGATGGAAGATAAGGAACACTTGTTGATCGTGAGTTAACAGAAGTTACATACAAAAGCTTTAAATAACCGGACCGCTGGGACTTCTGAACTAACTTTCTGCATTGGCCGGGAATCGGACCCGGGTCTCCCGCGTGACAGGCGAGAATTCTACCACTGAACCACCAATGCTCGACAACCCCAAACAGACACGTCCTTGAGTGATCGCTAAGAACAGCTAGTGAGGTTATGCTTCATGGTTGCATAAGAGATAAAAGATAAGGAACACTTGTTGATCTTGAGTTAGCAGAAGTTACATAGCAAAGCTTTAAAGAACCAGACCGCTGGGACTTCTGAACTAACTTTCTGCATCGGCCGGGAATCGGACCCGGGTCTCCCGCGTGGCAGGCGAGAATTCTATCACTGAACCACCAATGCTCGACTACCTCAAACAGACACGTCCTTGAGTGATCGCTAAGAACAGCTAGTGAGGTTATGCTTCATGGTTGCATAAGAGATGGAAGATAAGGAACACTTGTTGATCTTGAGTTAGCAGAAGTTACATAGCAAAGCTTTAAAGAACCAGACCGCTGAGACTTCTGAACTAACTTTCTGCATTGGCCGGGAATCGGACCCGGGTCTCCCGCGTGGGAGGCGAGAATTCTACCACTGAACCACCAATGCTCGACAACCTCAAACAGACATGTCCTTGAGTGAACGCTAAGAACAGCTAGTGAGGTTATGCTTCATGGGTTGCATAAGAGATAAAAGATAAGGAACACTTGTTGATCTTGAGTTAGCAGAAGTTACATACAAAAGCTTTAAAGAACCAGACCGCTGGGACTTCAAAGTTATCTTTTTGCATTGGCCGGGAATCGGACCCGGGTCTCCCGCGTGGCAGGTGAGAATTCTACCACTGAACCACCAATGCTCGACAACCTCAAACAGACATGTCCTTGAGTGATCGCTAAGAACAGGTAGGGAGGTTATGCTTCATGGGTTGCATAAGAGATGGAAGATAAGGAACACTTGTTGATCGTGAGTTAACAGAAGTTACATACAAAAGCTTTAAATAACCGGACCGCTGGGACTTCTGAACTAACTTTCTGCATTGGCCGGGAATCGGACCCGGGTCTCCCGCGTGACAGGCGAGAATTCTACCACTGAACCACCAATGCTCGACAACCCCAAACAGACACGTCCTTGAGTGATCGCTAAGAACAGCTAGTGAGGTTATGCTTCATGGTTGCATAAGAGATAAAAGATAAGGAACACTTGTTGATCTTGAGTTAGCAGAAGTTACATAGCAAAGCTTTAAAGAACCAGACCGCTGGGACTTCTGAACTAACTTTCTGCATCGGCCGGGAATCGGACCCGGGTCTCCCGCGTGGCAGGCGAGAATTCTATCACTGAACCACCAATGCTCGACTACCTCAAACAGACACGTCCTTGAGTGATCGCTAAGAACAGCTAGTGAGGTTATGCTTCATGGTTGCATAAGAGATGGAAGATAAGGAACACTTGTTGATCTTGAGTTAGCAGAAGTTACATAGCAAAGCTTTAAAGAACCAGACCGCTGAGACTTCTGAACTAACTTTCTGCATTGGCCGGGAATCGGACCCGGGTCTCCCGCGTGGGAGGCGAGAATTCTACCACTGAACCACCAATGCTCGACAACCTCAAACAGACATGTCCTTGAGTGAACGCTAAGAACAGCTAGTGAGGTTACGCTTCATGGGTTGCATAAGAGATAAAAGATAAGGAACACTTGTTGATCTTGAGTTAGCAGAAGTTACATACAAAAGCTTTAAAGAACCAGACCGCTGAGACTTCTGAACTAACTTTCTGCATTGGCCAGGAATCGGACCCGGGTCTCCCGCGTGGGAGGCTAGAATTCTACCACTGAACCACCAATGCTCGACAACCTCAAACAGACATGTCCTTGAGTGAACGCTAAGAACAGCTAGTGAGGTTACGCTTCATGGGTTGCATAAGAGATAAAAGATAAGGAACACTTGTTGATCTTGAGTTAGCAGAAGTTACATAGCAAAGCTTTAAAGAACCAGACCGCTGGGACTTCAAAATTATCTTTTTGCATTGGCCGGGAATCGGACCCGGGTCTCCCGCGTGGCAGGCGAGAATTCTACCACTGAACCACCAATGCTCGACAACCTCAAACAGACATGTCCTTGAGTGATCGCTAAGAACAGCTAGTGAGGTTACGCTTCATGGGTTGCATAAGAGATAAAAGATAAGGAACACTTGTTGATCTTGAGTTAGCAGAAGTTACATAGCAAAGCTTTAAAGAACCAGACCACTGGGACTTCTGAACTAACTTTCTGCATTGTCCGGGAATCGGACCCGGGTCTCCCGCGTGGCAGGCGAGAATTCTACCACTGAACCACCAATGCTCGACAACCTCAAACAGACATGTCCTTGAGTGATCGCTAAGAACAGGTAGGGAGGTTATGCTTTATTGGTTGCATAAGAGATAAAAGATAAGGAACACTTGTTGATCTTGAGTTAGCAGAAGTTACATAGCAAAGCTTTAAAGAACCAGACCGCTGGGACTTCTGAACTAATTTTCTGCATTGGCCGGGAATCGGACCCGGGTCGCCCGCGTGGCAGGCGAGAATTCTACCACTGAACCACCAATGCTTGACAACCCCAAACAAACACGTCCTTGAGTGATCGCTAAGAACAGCTAGTGAGGTTACGCTTCATGGGTTGCATAAGAGATAAAAGATAAGGAACACTTGTTGATCTTGAGTTAGCAGAAGTTACATACAAAAGCTTTAAAGAACCAGACCGCTGGGACTTCAAAATTATCTTTTTGCATTGGCCGGGAATCGGACCCGGGTCTCCCGCTTGGGAAACAAGAATTCTCCCACTGAACCACCAATGCTCGACAACCTCAAACAGACACGTCCTTGAGTGACCGCTAAGAACAGGTAGGGAGGTTATGCTTTATTGGTTATATAAGAGATGGAAGATAAGGAACACTTGTTGATCTTGAGTTAGCAGAAGATACATATAAAAGCTTTAAAAACCAGACCGCTGGGACTTCTGAACTAACGTTCTGCATTGGCCGGGAATCGGACCCGGGTCTCCCGCGTGGCAGGCGAGAATTCTACCACTGAGCCACCAATGCTCGACAACCCCAAACAAACACGTCCTTGAGTGATCGCTAAGAACAGGTAGGGAGGTTATGCTTTATTGGTTGCATAAGAGATGGAAGATTAGGAACACTTGTTGATCTTGAGTTAGCAGAAGTTACAAACAAAAGCTTTAAAGAACCAGACCGCTGGAACTTCAAAGTTATCTTTTTGCATTGGCCAGGAATCGGACCCGGGTCTGCCGCGTGGCAGGTGAGAATTCTACCACTGAACCACCAATGCTCGACAACCCCAAACAGACACGTACTTGAGTGATCGCTAAGAACAGCTAGTGAGGTTACGCTTCATGGGTTGCATAAGAGATAAAATTTAAGGAACATTTGTTGATCTGAACCACCGAACCACCAATGCTCGACAACCTCAAACAGACACGTCCTTGAGTGATCGCTAAGAACAGGTAGGGAGGTTATGCTTCATGGTTGCATAAGAGATGGAAGATAAGGAACACTTGTTGATCTTGAGTTAGCAGAAGTTACATAGCAAAGCTTTAAAGAACCAGACCGCTGGGACTTCTGAACTAACTTTCTGCATTGGCCGGGAATCGGACCCGGGTCTCCCGCGTGGCAGGCGAGAATACTACCACTGAACCACCAATGCTCGACAACCTCAAACAGACACGTCCTTGAGTGATCGCTAAGAACAGCTAGTGAGGTTACGCTTCATGGGTTGCATAAGAGATAAAAGATAAGGACCACTTGTTGATCTTGAGTTAGCAGAAGTTACATACAAAAGCTTTAAAGAACCAGACCGCTGGGACTTCAAAATTATCTTTTTGCATTGGCCGGGAATCGGGGCCGGGTCTCGGGAGCCGAAAATGGTTAAGCTTAACTTCCCTTAACTTTTCTCATTCATTCTCTATGGTAGTGCTTAACACTACGGATGCAATACACTTTTGGCCACACGTAGACTTCCCGGCGCTGTTTAGCGTGTCATCTGTCAATCATTCGCAGCGGAGGAGGGGAGACCTGTTTTACGATCGGAGAGATATTTGTTTACAGACTTGTCAGCCAACTTGTTTCGTTTTGTTACTGTCTAAACTACAGATGCAGACAGATTTCAACTCAGGTGAGCGCATATACATTATTATAAAAATATTTTATCATTTAAATTGCATGTATATTGTCATGTAATCGTATTGTTACCCTGTTGAATGGATTGTGACGATATTTTGACGATGGATTGTGACGAGCTGCTATTTTATCTTTATCTAGTATATTTGTTTGTAAAGGTGAATGTTTCATCATAATCTCTAACAATGTTTAAAATATATGTTAACAGTGCAGTTAGTAATTAATGTCATGTGCAATAGTATGGAGGACCGAACAAGCAATTAAAAATTAAAAATGAATGAATGAATAAATAAATGAATAAATAGATAAATGTGATAATAGGAAATTAAATAAAGGAATTAACGACTTATGATTAATTTTAATCAAATGTATTTTTTGTATATTTGTCCACAAATATATATGTTTTTGCATTTACATTTTAATGTATTGTATTCTTTTTAATTGTATTTATTTATTATTTTATTTATTTGTTTGTTCAGTTTATTCTTATATTTATTTATGCATTTATTTATTTGTATATTTATTTATTTAAATATTCATTTCCAGATATATTTGTTTTATCCTTTATTTATTAAAATTTTCTTTCTTTAGTTTTATATCTTCTTACATTTTTTGATAATGATAATTGTTGGTTGGTCTTGCTTACCAAATATAAATATTAACTAACTCATAAATAAAAGCAGAAAGGGATGGGAACAATTCAAAAAATGTTTTGATTAAGAATAAATCAAACTTATTATATCAAGGCATTTAGTCCTTTATTTATTTATATTCTTTTTATTTATTTACATATTTATTTATTCATTTCCACTGTTGCATAATTTCTGCAGGTTTGGTCCTCCTGTAATGTATTTAATGTCACACACACACACACACATATTACATTTCATTTACAAACAAATAAAAGTATGTGTGCAATTTAATAGTATAATTGAACATTTTTAATTAGTTAAACTTTTTATATATATACATGCATACATTTATGCATACACATTTTTATATTAAATCTTTTTTAAACAATTTGATTAATGAATATTAAATAATGCAAACTTAATAAACACTCTGTGCTCTGAGGCTGTATTTATTCAGTTAAGAAACAGCAATATCAAGGAATATTACAGCATTTTAAAATAACTCTTTTATATATATCACTGATTCTTTAGTTTGTATTAACTGTCTTATTTCACTTTGCTACTGTAAATATTTAAATGGTTATGCTGAAACACTAATGAATACATTCTGATTTCAGAACAGCATTATGAAGAAACCTGTGTTTTTCCCCGGAAAAGTCCAAGTGTCTTTCAGGAAAGGTCCATCAGGCCATTTACGCCGGGACCCGTCTGAAGAGGCAACAAGAATGAAAGACAACCCTTCACTGCAGGACAAGTCAACACCTCAAAGAGACGATCTGGTCAAGCTGAATGCCCGGTCTGTGGTGTTCCATAGAGGAGGGGATGTCTCGGACAAGCAAGAGGTGTTGGGAGAATGCATTCTTCAGTTCGGCAAGTACAAGGGCAAGTCTTTCAAGTGGTTATTAGAGAATGACGTCGGCTATGCTTTGTACCTGTCCGATAAGGTTGAGGAAGAGGAACGGGCTGGGCAGTTCAACCCAGAGGGTCCATGCAAGGATAGCCTCATTTCCTTTCTTGAGTATTCAAGAAGCTTCAAGGAAATTGAAGATCTCAAACAGTACCTGTCTCAAAGGTCAGATCCACTGCCAGTTTTGACAGAGGATGACAATACTTTTGGATTTGGATCCAGAGCACGAGACACTTGGAAGAAAATTTGGGATACCAGGGCAGACGGATATGCTTTCTTTATAATGAGGCAGAAGTGTGTGCCAGGCAGCAAAATGTACAATTTGCAGCAGTATCTTTTAAAACAGCAGCAAAAACAGATGACCAAAAACACTCCTCCGTTGCCCCCACCATCAGCTTCCGCTGCAAGACCACCGGTTCCTTCCATTACTGACTCTGATCAGCCTGGTGAGTTAATAAAATTCATGCTAATTTGCTTATATTGACTATTAAAGCCTACCTATCTAATGATGCATTCATTATATTTTATAGTAATGGAGGAGGATGAACAACTGGAGAGGATGATGCTGAGTCTTTCTCCAACAAAATATCTCACACAGCTGAGTAAGTAAATCAAGTATTGTGTCGTGTATGTTATATATATATATACCCATGTCAAAATCTTATAAAATTGTTAAAAAAAATAACATACTGGAGAAACCATTCAAATTCGAATGCTTATTTTTTAGGATCATCATCTGCAGCCACAGGATCCACAGACTTATCTACAACAGGTTACTTTACACATCAGTTTTGGAGGCTAATTCGGTTACATACACACTTAACCTCCATCTCTGATTTTAATTCTCTTATTTGTTGTTTTGGCAGTGTTCTTGCCTGTTCTAAAAACATGTTCTTTTGTTCTAACTACTGTTAAGGTTTGAATATACCAGTGGTGAGGGTGAGTGCACTTCATGAATTGTATGCATGCTAAACTGTTATTTTTTGTGAAAAAGTCGACTGTTTACTTACAGACATTTGAACATTATCAGAATATATATTACTAGTCATTTAATGTAGTCAAGACAATCAAATACATATGTACATTCAGTTTTAATTTCCTCCATGTGCTTTTCCTTGCAGCTCCTCCAACAACATCGGCTCCTGTGTGTAGGCCTTCTTCACAGAGTGAAGGCTTTGCACCACCTCACGCAGCACAATCAGCACCCACACCTGCACCAATGCCGTCTGCACTCACTGAAACCCCTGTTCCCAGATACTTGAAGAAAAAAAGTAAAGACAGTTAAACACACGTGCATTAAATGTGTTATACACGATATATGAATACACATTAATTTCCTTTGCTTTGTTTTCTTGCAGTTATGCCACAGCCTTCACCGGCATCACATGCAGTCTCTAGTTCTCCCAGTCCACCAGCTCCTGTGTGTAGGCCTTCTTCACAGACTGATGGCTCTGTACCACCTTCTGCCGCACAATCAGCACCTACAGCTCCTGCATCAATGGCGTCTGCACAGACAGAAGCACCTGTTAGTGGATATTTGCAAGATATTAGTCACTGGAACTGCTCTCTTCATCAAAGGATTTGGATGAAAACAGAGATGGAGTCCATGGGGCTTTGGCCAGGATCACGCCCAGTAAGACACCTCATGAATATGGTCTCCTTGTTGCGCTATCCACCTCAGCCCGAGCTTATAGAGACAAACATGGGCCTTCCGTCACCAAAGTACTTCCAGCTCCATCCCTTTTTCATTTGGAAACCTGAGCACAGTATAAATGAAAGGCTTAGAAACAATTACATCCTGCCCTGTCTCTACAGCTGTCCAAATCCGCATGTTGTGTCCTCAGGTGTGGGAAGACCCCGAGTGATCCTTGGCACTAGTGGGCAATATTACATCCTTGCTTCACGTCTGTGCTGTAAGGCATGTAAAAAATACTGGTTTGCTGATAAACCACAGTGGGTGGACATGCTACCTCAGAGATTTAGAAACATCTTGCCAGCCTTCCTCACCTATAAGAAGGCAATCTGTAAAACGGTGATGGATGAACTGAGGCGCTCTGGAAAGTCCCCCAATGATATGGCCAACCAGCTGTCTGAGGTGCTTCACCTTAAGTTTGAAAGGGCCCACCTTGCTTACCTTCTAATGGTGCAGAACGTCAGGGATGCTGAAGCAGGACTGTATGGCCAGAAAACCATCACAGGAGCATTGAGGAAGGACGACACACCTGCTTCGTTTGGGGGTTACGAAGACACTGATGGGTGGCATGGGGTGTCTGTGTCTGCACATTATCTGGTGGAGTGCTTGCTTCAGGAATATCAGCGTCAAGAGGCAGTTCTCACTCAGCTCCTTCAAGGCACTTTTGGACAGGTGTTCAGGTCAGATCACACACGCAAAGTTGCTAGAAAAGTGACCCTCTCATCTGGCACAATGTCATCCTATGCTGTGATGAACGAGAACTGGATGATCCTGTCCTGGGTGATGCTGCAGTCTGAGAGTGAGCAGTCCTTGACGTCAATGTACTGTGGGATGGCCAATCGCTACAGTGCTGCTGGCATACCCAAGGCCAAGTACCAGTGGGTGGACAGGTAAGAATAATCAAATTTCATCACTCATCACATCAAGATGTACAGGCAAATGTAATGAATGCATTAAAATTAAATTTTATTTCCATTTTATTTACTTAGGGACTGCTGTGCTGCATTCAGAGTGATGGACCCAGGACCGTATGAGCACCAGCAGTGGGAAGCTTGGAGGACCACTGAAGCTACTGTGGCAGAGGTTACATCAGGAAACCTCAAGAATGTAAATGCCGCTTGCCAGAAGTACAATGAGGACATGGTGGTTAAACTAGACTTGTTTCACTGTATGCGGCGATTCACCAGGGAATGTGTTTCGGAGCACCATCCTCTGTATAGTTCCTTCTGCCAGTTCCTCTCTTCTGCCTTCTCTGTAGTAGATCAGAGTGACCTGGAGAAACTGAAGAACGCATACAAGTTCTGTGGAATTGAGCCTGCTAATCCCACAAAGCAGCACATCCGAGAGCACTGCAGGACAAAAGTGCCACATCCTAGAGAGCTGGTCCAAAGAGTGGAAGAAGTACTTCACCATTTCCATCTTGCAAAGGATCCCAACAACATCTTCCTTTTTAAACCCTCGATGCTAAAATTGTGGTGGATTCAGCGTATCCACATCCTTAGAGGCTGCCTGAGTGACCCTGAGGTGGAGGAAGGAATCCTCTACAGATATGGGGGAACGCTACAACTGAATCATGTCAAGGGTGAAGGAGCTGCTGTGCCCATCTGGATCCCTATCAGAGGCACTTCACAGCAGGAGGGGTTTCATTTCCACCAGGCTCAGTGGGTAACGGGCAATCGCGTCTCTCCTGAGCTGTTCCAAGCGCAGGGTATGACTGGTGTGGCACGCTGGAATTATCAGCGGCTCGTTGACCTGAAGCAGCCTGGGCTTGTCTTACCTGGAGTGTTTGACCCTGTTTTGATGATGGAGTTAAACAGGGCATCTATAACAGTGACTGGGCAACCCAAATATCCAGCCTTCCACATCTCCAGCAGGGACACAGGCGAGAGGTTTGGCCTACAATATGTGGAGCCAGGCTGTCGACCTGTGCCTCTTGACTTCGACAAACACAAAAGCAGGAAGACAGACCTAGGGATGCAAGAAGAGTCTTCATCTGGCACTGACTTCTCATTTCCATCTCAGGTAAGCCTTTAAATTTTTTTCATAACAGACTTTTTATTAAACATTTTTTTACACAAATAACATTAATTTTGCTGAATTTCAGAAATGCTTAGAGGATTCCTCTTCTGCTGAGGCCCCTCCTGCTGGTGGACCAGAGGCCCCCCGCAGACTGTGATTTTTAAACGTTTTTCTACTCCGAGTGCTGTGACAGTGAAGGAACAAACATCTGAGGAGTTTCTTTTAGATGCAGGTAATTACATTATGTGTGTAATCTGTTTGCCTAATCTATGCACACAAAACACAAATACTTCATTTAAAATAATTTTGTGAATCTCTTTTAGAACTGCCAAGCACACCACCACTGCCTTTAGCTGCTTCTCCCTGTGCTGCTCGGACTGGACCCATTAAGACAGGTGGTCGAGTCTTTGTGTTGGACCATAACAGATGGACAGATCCAATGAGAAATGCCATTGATGGTTTGCTTGCCAAGCACCACGGGAGCAAGGACCTCCTGACAAAGGTGGATGCTGAATATGCTGCTATGGTACAGAGTGCCTGCACTGACCCAAACAGCCTTTTGCACTCAACCACAAAGCAGCACATAAGCAGGTACATAAAACACCTTGCTAAAAAAAAGAACACTAATGCTTCACTCAACACCAGCCCAGAAAAGCTCCTGGAGACACAGCAGTTATGGCAGCGTCTTCATTCAGGCAGTGAAACCATCAGTGTCCCAGTGACAGTACTTCCACCTGCCCCGGTCAATCCACCCGCAAAGAGTGTTCCTGAGGCTGTCTCTCTAGACCAGGCAGCGCTTGAAGAGATGGTGAAGGACATCATAGAGAAGCAGCAGGCAGTTCAGAAGCAACAACAACAGCAAATGCCACAAAAAAAGCTCACCAGATCCTGTTTAGCCTGTGGTCAGCCTAAGTCTCGATACATGGGTGATGGCACCTCAATACATTTCTTTTATCAAGGCGGTGATGTTAAATACTTCTACTGCTCCAAGAAAGTTTTTGACACATATTCAGCAGAGGGCCTGACCAACCCCAGAATGCCTTTTGAAGACTTTGCAGCGACTCCTTTTTTTCAGCGAGAACTGGAGTCTTCTAAGCGGAGAGGGGCGGAAAATAAGAGGGTGATTGAGGAGAGAAGCAAGAGGAAGTCTGTAGTAGAGCATCCTACTGGTCGTCTGTGCAGATTCTGCCACCTGCCACTGAAACAAGGGCCAAACAGTCCTCATATTCACACTGGTTTCCCTGGAGTGGCAGGCAAATACATTTACTTTCCTGCTAAAGTGTTTTCCCTTTATCAGGCTCAGGGAATGAGCACAGAAATGTCATGGAGAGACATTCAGCAGTCTCCATTCTATGAGGCCGAGAAGAAGAGGTGGATTGAGGAAAAGAAAAAATGACTTTATTGGCAAATGACATGCCCAGACCTCAAATACTGTTTATAGCACAAAGACATTCCTTGCACAATGTTAAACATATATTTATCTACATATTATTGCACTTTTAATATATATATATTTAATTTGTTTCAATTTGTTCATTAAAATACCAAAAGTATTGTATTTTATTGCATTGCATTGTATTTTGGTGTGTGTGTGTGTGTGGGTGGGGGTGGGTTTTAAAGTTCATTTATTGACTTCCATTAGTTTTTCTTTCTCTGATTTGTAAAACACTAAATATTAAGTAATGTTACTATTAAAGTCTGTACAGAATCATTTTATTTAAACATCTTTCTTGTTTTTTTCTCCTTAACTTTAGATATTATTATTGCTGTTGTTTAATCTATCCTTTTAAATTGTTAAATTTATTTCCATTGTTCATTAAAATTAAAAAGTTTTGTCCTTGTTTGCATTGCACTTTAGTGTGTTTTTAAAGTTAATTTTATTGACTTGCATTATTTTATCTTGCTCAGTTGTGTAAACACTAAATGTTAATAACTGTTATAATAAAACGCTGTACATAATTATTTAATTTTAAATAAATCTTGTTCTTTTCCTGTGTTCTCCAAAGCTTTGTATGTTATTATTATTAATGTTATTGTTGTTTAATCTATAAGTATTTAATACATTACCTTTTTCAGTTTTACATATAATATGTATATTATTTTACTATAAATAAAATGAGAAAATTACTATTTGGTGTTTTCTGGTTGTATTTCATTTATATATTGGATTTCTGTGCAAAGTTAAACAAATATAATGTGAAAATCTCTCAAAAATAAAGGTCTAAAACATTATCAAAATGTTCTTTACAATTATTCACATCCAAATATTTTCTATATTAAAAGAGAAACATACCCTATTATAATTTAAATGTTTATTAAGAGAATTGGACGTTTTGTAAATCCTACACCAGAACAAATCTTACAAGTTTATTTTATTTTGTGCACAAAGTTAGTATATTATATGTAAATTGTACTCGGGATGAATTTGTAATCATTTTTTTAATCTAGATACACTTTATGGTATTTGTGGTCGAGACGGGACTCGAACCTATGATTTTGTGAATTTTTTCTGGCCCGCCTCCCTGGAATTTCCTGCGTTCCTATTGGCTGGCAGCGCTCTACACCTACGCGCGACTGGCCTTCGCGTGTAAAGCGAACGTGATAACCACTACACTACAGAAACTTAACTTGGAAGACAGTCCGACCTCTTTTAGCGTACGCTTGTTCAAAAGCGACTGAAACGATAGACTGCCCACTGTCCTTAAAATGGCAAAAAGCTGCTATTTTTGTTGGCAGACTAAACATTTTTTATTACTCTACAGGAAACTTCAATGGTCATTTGTTTTGTTTTAGTCCTTTTCTAAAGAATTTACACCGCAAATCGCCCTGCAAGTGTTCTGACCTGCTCAACAGAAAACCACTGAAAAAATGTTATCAAAGACCATCCACAGTTTCCGCCCAGTTTCGAACTGGGGACCTTTCGCGTGTGAGGCGAACGTGATAACCACTACACTACGGAAACATGCCCTGTAGGTGCAGGCAGAAATCTTCTGGTGCAGGCTTGTTAAAAAGTGTATAAAGGAAAAGTGAGCTGAGCCCTCCCGTTGTGGCAAACAGTTTAAATTTTCTGCCAAAAGCCAATTGCTGTTTCTGCTCGGTTTCGAACCGAGGACATTTCGCGTGTTAGGCGAACGTGATGACCACTACACTACAGAAACCTCCTTACGTAAGACATGTGCTTTTTCGAAAATGGCTCCATCCCATAATCTTTCCTGCAAGCATTGTGACAAGCTGTTTAAATTCCACAAACAACAGATAAGAGCTCATTCGGAATGGCAGTCTGCCTACAGCTCTTTGGTACAATTGCCCTCACCTAATTTCAATAGTCCAAAAACTTTGTTGCGAATTTCAGCACGTATATTAAAAACCCCTTTACTTGTTTCCGCCCAGTTTCGAACTGAGGACCTTTGGCGTGTAAAGCGAACGTGATAACCACTATACTACGGAAACTTAACTTGGAAGACAGTCCGACCTCTTTTAGCGTACGCTTGTTCAAAAGCGACTGAAACGATAGACTGCCCACTGTCCTTAAAATGGCAAAAAGCTGCTATTTTTGTTGGCAGACTAAACATTTTTTATTACTCTACAGGAAACTTCAATGGTCATTTGTTTTGTTTTAGTCCTTTTCTAAAGAATTTACACCGCAAATCGCCCTGCAAGTGTTCTGACCTGCTCAACAGAAAACCACTGAAAAAATGTTAGCAAAGACCATCCACAGTTTCCGCCCAGTTTCGAACTGGGGACCTTTCGCGTGTGAGGCGAACGTGATAACCACTACACTACGGAAACATGCCCTGTAGGTGCAGGCAGAAATCTTCTGGTGCAGGCTTGTTAAAAAGTGTATAAAGGAAAAGTGAGCTGAGCCCTCCTGTTGTGGCAAACAGTTTAAATTTTCTGCGAAAAGCCAATTGCTGTTTCTGCTCGGTTTCGAACCGAGGACCTTTCGCGTGTTAGGCGAACGTGATCACCACTACACTACATAAACTTAACTTGGAAGACAGTCCGACCTCTTTTAGCGTACGCTTGTTCAAAAGCGACTGAAACGATAGACTGCCCACTGTCCTTAAAATGGCAAAAAGCTGCTATTTTTGTTGGCAGACTAAACATTTTTTATTACTCTACAGGAAACTTCAATGGTCATTTGTTTTGTTTTAGTCCTTTTCTAAAGAATTTACACCGCAAATCGCCCTGCAAGTGTTCTGACCTGCTCAACAGAAAACCACTCAAAAAATTTTAGCAAAGACCATCCACAGTTTCCGCCCAGTTTCGAACTGGGGACCTTTCGCGTGTGAGGCGAACGTGATAACCACTACACTACGGAAACATGCCCTGTAGGTGCAGGCAGAAATCTTCTGGTGCAGGCTTGTTAAAAAGTGTATAAAGGAAAAGTGAGCTGAGCCCTCCTGTTGTGGCAAACAGTTTAAATTTTCTGCCAGAAGCCAATTGCTGTTTCTGCTCGGTTTCAAACCGAGGACCTTTCGCGTGTTAGGCGAACGTGATGACCACTACACTACAGAAACCTCCTTATGTAAGACATGTGCTTTTTCGAAAATGGCTCCATCCCATAATCTTTCCTGCAAGCATTGTGACAAGCTGTTTAAATTCCACAAACAACAGATAAGAGCTCATTCGGAATGGCAGTCTGCCTACAGCTCTTTGGTACAATTGCCCTCACCTAATTTCAATAGTCCAAAAACTTTGTTGCGAATTTCAGCACGTATATTAAAAACCCCTTTACTTGTTTCCGCCCAGTTTTGAACTGAGGACCTTTGGCGTGTAAAGCGAACGTGATAACCACTACACTACGGAAAATTAACTTGGAAGACAGTCCGACCTCTTTTAGCGTACGCTTGTTCAAAAGCGACTGAAACGATAGACTGCCCACTGTCCTTAAAATGGCAAAAAGCTGCTATTTTTGTTGGCAGACTAAACATTTTTTATTACTCTACAGGAAACTTCAATGGTCATTTGTTTTGTTTCAGTCCTTTTCTAAAGAATTTACACCGCAAATCGCCCTGCAAGTGTTCTGACCTGCTCAACAGAAAACCACTCAAAAAATGTTAGCAAAGACCATCCACAGTTTCTGCCCAGTTTCGAACTGGGGACCTTTCGCGTGTGAGGCGAACGTGATAACCACTACACTACGGAAACATGCCCTGTAGGTGCAGGCAGAAATCTTCTGGTGCAGGCTTGTTAAAAAGTGTATAAAGGAAAAGTGAGCTGAGCCCTCCTGTTGTGGCAAACAGTTTAAATTTTCTGCCAGAAGCCAATTGCTGTTTCTGCTCGGTTTCAAACCGAGGACCTTTCGCGTGTTAGGCGAACGTGATGACCACTACACTACAGAAACCTCCTTATGTAAGACATGTGCTTTTTCGAAAATGGCTCCATCC